GCCGCCTGCGCTCTCAAGCCGGGTCCCGGAGCTGCGGCCCGGGCCGCTGGAATGCCTGGGTTCCCGCACAGCCCAGTTCTTATTTCTTGTTCTAATGAGTCCCCTCCCAGTTCTACTTAATTAAAACCGGGAGAGGGGGGCTGGGGAGGTAATTAGGGAGGTCTCCAGCCGCTGCTTAATGAGCCGGTAATTAACCAGCCAGGGAGGGGAGCTGGCCTCCGGCCAGACTGGGGAGAGCGCCGGCCCCGGCCTCACCTTCCTGCCCCCCAACACCACCAGTCCTCAGTCCAGGGGGGAATGGCCTTTATTCGTGCAGCCGGACGGGACGGCCCGAGCGGCGTGGACGCGGGCGCGGGGCCTCGGGCCGACTCTCCGCCGCGCCCGGCCCGTCTTCGGGCTGGGGAGGGGCCGCCGCACGGGTCGGAGGCCGCGAGCGCTGCCGGCCTTGGGGTCCTGAGCGCCCGCTCACGCGCCTGACAGCTCGGGACAGACCCGGCCTGGCGCCGTCCCCGCTGCCTCGAGCTGCAGCACACTCGCGGAGGGCGTCCGTGGCTTCCCGCCTGCCCTTGCACCCCTCGGGCTCGCGGGGAATGTGCTGCGAGAGGGCCGCAAGGCTGCGATTTCTCCTGCGTCCTCAGTCTCTGGTGCCCCTGCCAAGCGGGCGGGCGGGCGCGCAGCGGGCTCGCAGCTTTGCCCCCAGGAGGGAGGAGGGGCTGGCTGGGGGCTCGGGTCTCAGCAGGTGTGTGTCGGGGGCCGGGATCGTTGCTCTTCCATTCGCCCCCCGCCCTGAACTCTCAGCAGCAACTCCAGGAGCTCCTGTCCCCCCGGGGGTAGGGGCGGATCTGACCGCTGGGCTTCCATCCGCTGGCACTGAGCGAGTGGAGGAAGAGGAGAGATTGGTAAGATCAGGGTAAGGTGCCCTGGGGAGAGGAGACCTCGAGATGGGGCAGGGGTGGGCAGGAGGCCTGGGCTTTGCCCCCTGGCGTGTCACCTGGTGGGTGAGGATGGTGCTGTAGAGCTGTTCCTTCTCCTCGAGGGGCCGGGCCGGGGCTGGAGCTGGGCTGGGGGTGTTCTGGGGAGCCTGGAAGGCGGCCCTCTGCTCCTCGAGGCGACGGGACTGGGCCTCAGCCACCAGGTCCAGCAGGAGCTCCGTCTGCAGGGACAGCAGGGAGGCCGAGCGGGGCCCCAGGGCTGGAGAGAGGAGTGAGGAGGCTCGGAGACTGCAGAAGGTGGCAGCTAGAGGGGCGGTGGCGGTGGGGTGGGGGCTTGAGGGGTCAGGGCCTTTGGGTCGGAGCTGAGGGGGTGTGGTGAGGAGCCTGGAGCAGGTGGGGAGAGCGCCCGCAAGCGGAACAGGCGCTGATGATGGGGTGAGGACGTGGGCACCCGGGTCCGGGGGTCCCTGAGCGGGTGGAGGTACCTGTGCGGCGGGTCCCTGGCGGAGGAGGGGACGGAGGAGCGGATCGCCAAGGCCGAGTGGTAGAGTTCAGAGGGGGCCAGCCCTGCTCACCCTGGGGGCGTCCCTGATACCAAGAGAAGTCCGGTCCAGTCACGTAGGGGTGCGGTGGGCGGAGGGCCAGGGCTAGGCCAGTGCCCCAGTGCCTGGGTTTCTGTTCACGCCTCAGGGTGCTCAGGCCCGTCCGAGTCCCGTGTGTCTACTGTCACTAGGTCTGTGCCCCCGAACCCCCTCGTTCCTTCTCGGACCCTCGCCTCCCCACCCTGTGCCCTGCTCACCTGCTCACCGTCCTCTTGCGGGGGTCCCTCGGGCTCCATCCCCTGGTGGGGAGAAGCCGGTGGGGGAGGGGTGGCTGGGATTTGGGAGGAGGGCCGGAGCCCCGGGTTCCTGAGGGGAGTGGGGCCTGGCAGGGGTGGGGGTGAGCTGGGGGCTGGATGTCTGGGTACTGTGCAGGAAGCTCGGTTCCTGGTCAGCACCCCCAAGAGCCCCGCCCATCCCTGTCAACTTCCTCCATTCTCTTTTCCCACCCAAACAGCTTGTTTGACCTTTTTTGCCCCAGGAGAGCACAGAGACTGGGAGGAACTCCAGCTGCAGGAGTGGAGGGGGCTCCTGGTGGAAAAGGCCTCTGGCCCCCCAGCCCTGCCTCTGCTCCCTCCACCCCTGTCTCCCCTTCAGCGCTTTCTGTCAACACAGGAACTAGCTTTGCACAGGAAGTGGTTTCACTCTTTAGGATCCCCCTCCCCCAAACCAGGTCCCTTCCTTCCCTAAGACAGACCCTGGTGGGGGGATTTGGCTTTCCTCTGACCTACTGGGCCTGGGAGGGGCATATGGTCCCAGTGAGAAGCAGAGAACTGAGGAGGTACACACCCATAGCCCTGGATCCAGCGCACAGCGAGTATTCCAGGCTGTGCGCTGAATATCCCTGTCGTCTGTGTGTTTGTGATACAGGGGAAATAATACAGTTCGCAACCTGCTAGATGTCAGAGATGCCGAGCTCGTTTTGTCTGAAATGGAAGAATGAATTGTAAGGAACAGTGGAGGTTTCAGAGTAGGAAGAACATACTGAAAAATAGGAGGTGACCTGAAAGGTTGCCAATGGCCCCACTTCTCAAAGGAGGTTTCATGGAGAGAAATCATGAGGTGGGTACAATGTGGGTCAAAACTATGACCAACCGGTCATATCGCAAGTGTAGCTGCTGAGGTAACATTGATCTGTGGGGAAGCAGGTCACATCGCAAGTGTGCATGGAAAAAACGAAGACCTTTTTAGGAAGGGATGGGTCAGGAGGTCCTGGTCGCCCACCTGGGTGACTGATGTCTACCTGGACTTTACTGGACCAGGTGATACCGATTATAGTATAATCTTCAATTTATTGCTTATCCCTTGGGGAGGCATGGAGGTGTGGTCATTCTGTCTTTACCTTGAGTCCTGGCATTTGACAGATGGGCCTCCAGCCATAATTGTGCCGTGCTCTCATTTTTGTATTGACTCTTAGGGCCCAGCCCTGTCTGACTCCCTAACTTAGCTGTTTATATTTACAGTCTATCGGGGGATGGACGTACCCCAGATGTGAGAGAACGTGCCCCAGATGTGAGAGAATGGGACTGGGACAAGGATATATCTTCTCAACTCACAGTTTAGTACAGACAAGGGCCAGGGGAAGATTTCCCTTTGGCCATGAGGGAGGGATGTGGAAGTGGAAAAGGCAGAGGGCCGACCCCGGGCCTGGTCGCTCACTGATGCTGGTCAGGCTGGCTGGCACTGAAGGAACAGGATAGGCTTTCAGGGGGCTGACAGCTGAATGGGTTGGAGCATGGAATGCGATGAAGATCTGGTCCTGCCACTTAATGCTCTGTAGTCTTGGGCTAATACAGTCTTGGGGCCTCAGGTTTTGAGAGAGTAAAATGAGCACCTACCTCATGAAGATGTGAGGATTAACTATAATAAAGCACTTGGCTTGTGGTGAATGCTCAGTAATGATAGTTATTACTGGCTTTCAAAATGACCCCTGCCTCCACCTTAGGCCTCCTGCTACTGACAAGGTGTAACCATATTCCTGAAACGTGCCTAGCTGTTCTCTCCGTCTTTCTTCATTTGAGGCCTCAGGAACCTCCTCAGATGGGAGACACAGCATGTGCGTGGTATACCGGGTGTGTTGCTTCTTTTTTGGGCCACTAGCGACTCTTTTTGAGCTGCTACCCTAAGTGAACACGGGACCACCAATCCGCTTATTCCGGCTCATTAACTACCAGCTGTCAATTCAAATGCTGGGTTTAGAGTACTACGTTCCCAAACCTGTGGGCCAGGGATAAAGCTCAAGGCCAGGGATATAGCTCAGTGGTACAAGCACCTGCCTGACAAAATGCAAGGTCCTGAGTTCGATTCCCAGCGCCCACGTTAAAAAAAAAAAACACCAAAAAACAAACCAAACCTGTGCAGTCACTATCACAGTGTTTTCCCATTCAACTGCCCACCCCCTCCAAAGGAAAGGTAACACTTCAAATCAACTTTATTACAGGTGACAGACGTGGGGGAGTCTTTAAATAAGAGATGGCATTAGCCAGCACACTGGTGCTTGGTCCCCGCAGTGGCTTCTTTCTGGGGCAGGGGAAGAGCAAGGCGTCATCAGCTGGAGTGGCCTTTGGCCGCCCTCCAGCACGCACAGTGCCTCGCACACAGTGCTCAGGTATCTGTCAGCCGTCTGTGGGCCGCGGTGGATGATGGAGGCTCCCTTTGGGAACCATGTATGGCCGAGAACACCTTGGATCCTATCCAGGGAGCTCGTGGTTCCACCTTAGGGGTGCTCTTCACCCCGTTTGCCTCTTAACCTCTTACCCTGTTTTCTAGGAGAGGAACTGGGTCTCCTCAGCACCCTAAACCCTCTTTCCAGAGCTGCAGTTTTTTAAGTGGAAGAGGACACCTTTTCCAGTGTGCATACACCGATTTCCGGAGGGAAATTTAACTCAGGCCCCCTCACTTTTGCAGCTTGATTTTAGTCTGGAGGGCTTTCCATATTTGTCATTTAATCGGCAATCATTTCTAGAATTCGTCCCTTCCACGCAGCCTATCTCTGACCCTCCGTTTCCAGGTTTAGGGGCATTACATGGTGCGCAGGGAGACCCCAGGCAACTTGGGGGGATCCCCGCTCCGGGGAAGGAGTGAGACAGGGGGGCGGGATCGGACTACTGGCGGCGGGGCAGCAGGCTCCCAGGGTCACCCAGTCGCAGGGCCAGTCATCCGCCGAGGCCAGGTCCCCGCGGCCAGCAGGAGCCCTGGCTCTCTCCCTGACGGACGCAGGAATGGGCCGAGGCCCGCGCATGCCCGTAGACAACCTCCGGCCGCCGCGGGGCGGGCCTCCCCGCGCTCCTCCCCCGGACGGGCTGCGGCAGCGCGAG